CTGTTAAAACCTATTTAGCCTTTTTTTTTGCCCTTTTGTCATCCAACTAACTAGTCTGGCATTACCACTCAGAAATAAAATAGAAAAAATAAACGAAATGAATATTATCCATTAAAGAAACACCAACAACAAAGATCAAGCACACAAAAGCAAAAAAAGTTCAAAAAAAGTCATTATCAGTTGGCTTCCTATTCATCCCAAATTCTCATGAATCCTACAAGAAAGCAAGTAAAGGCATAATTCAATCGAAAGTTTACATATCAAATTATCAAGTTTCTCCTTCAAACTTCAAACATTCCACTAGAGATTCAGGAACTCAATGTGGAATAGCTTTTCAAAACTAAATTGCCCAAAAACACCTAAAAACTGAAATCAAAACAACAGCACAATCTATGTTCACCTTCAACATTCTAAAACACAGTGAAAGAAATGTAGGAAAGTGGGTTTATCGGTACCCTTTTGACTATGTCTTCAAGACTTCAACCAGAGACAGAGAGAGATGGAGGTTAAAAAAGGTAATATAAAGAAGCAAGTCGGAAAAGGAAAACGTAAATGATGTGATGGGCCAATTTCATAATGCCCTGTACTTGGGTGATGTCAAGGAGCATGTCAAGATTTTGGAGAATGCTGGCCATTTGCCCCTTGCATATGTTACTGTTGCTGTCCATGGTCTCCAAGATGTTGTTGAACGTCTTGCAGCTAAATTGGGAAATAATGTTCCAACCTTGCCAGAGGGGAGAGTACTATCGCTTTTGATGCCTCCATCACCTATTCTCTGTGGAGGAGATTGGCCCTTGTTGAGAGTTATGAAAGGTATCTTTGAGAGTGGGTTGGATAATGCAGGGAGGGGTGCAAAGGAAGATGATGAAGAGACTGTTGATGGTGATTGGGGTGAGGACTTGGATATTATTGATGCAAATGGCATGCAGAATGGTGACATTGCTGTGGTGGTAGATGATGGAGAAGGGGAAGAAGAGAGATCGAGGGAGAGAGAGAGGAGAGAGAGGGAGAGAGAAACATAAAGGAATTTGAGGTAGAGGGGATTACCGCTGCTGTTGTTCGTGTATCGTGAGGTTAGTGAAGATGAACAGTGTTTTTCTCCCTTGTCTGAATAGTTATTACAAGGGTAATATGGGGATTAAAAATTATTATAACGGCCTTTTTGGATGGAAGGCTAACGGAAGGGGGTTTTTGTCTCACAGTCATAGTATAGGGGGGTCTTTGTCGCAAAACAAAGTATAAGGGGGTCTTTCTAATTTACCCTAATTACTAATAGTAATTACTCACTAATAATAATTAATTATTGAAAATAATTTCTTATAATAATTACTACTATTACTTAATTGTTGATAATAATTAATTAGTGATAATATTGCTCATTATTAATTCGGAAAATCATTACTGCTAATACTTAATTACTAATAATTTATCACTGACAATATTGCTCACTATTAATTTGAAGTGATAATTAATAAATATTTTCATAATGGTAATTAATAATTCGGAAATAATCATTTTATATTTATATTAACTCATATTAATTATTTTGAAAATAAATATTTAATGTTAATTATCTATATTATAATTATTATCAAAAATTATAATTCATACATTTATATGAAATAATTAATTATATTATTATAAGTAATTATAAATATTAATTAATATAATTATTTTATTATTATCAATAATTATAATTAATTATTACTAATACTAATGATGATAATTATTACTTCATAATGTTAATTAATTAATGATAATTAATAAGCATTTTAATAATATTAATTATTATTGGGATATAATCATTTTAAATTAATAATAATTCATATTAAATATTTTATAAATATATAATTAGTGTTACTTATTTACATTATTATTATTACAAGTAATTATAATTAATAATATTATTATTCTCCTATAATTGTTCTCCTCTTTGAACGATTTTCTTCCTTATTTGCCTCTTTGAATGGATATCATTTAAATGTTTTTTATCCATTTGTACGTCCCTAAATATTAAGCAGTATTGATGATATTGTTGTAAACATCCATCTAATTTTACTATTTTATAAATAGATTAATGATTTCAAAGTTATTGATACTTTTTTGGGGGTGGGTTGCTCAATAGGACATTGATTTTTTATTGTTAAATAGTAAATTTCAAATTAAATGATACTGTAGTTGCCCCTTACTTAGTACGGGGTCATTGTCTAGATAAAACATGGTATGTCTCTTAAATCAAATAAAGAACCTACCCTTAATGTCTATTATAAATAATTAAAAAAATGAAATAATTCAAATAATTACTTGCTAAAAATTAATGGATTAAGTAAATAATAATAACAACCAATTATTTATAGAAATAATTAATAATAATAACAATCATCAAGTACTTAGTGAAGTAAATGATAAAAAAACGAAATAACAATCATTAGTTATCATTAATGTTTATTCAAAGCATGCCGCCCCATAATAATTACCGAATAGAGTAAACCTTAAATAAGAATCAATATTTATTAACAATCATTAAAATTGTTAAGCTAAATCATTAATGTTTATTCTTAAATGCAAAATATGATTTAACAAATCTATTATATAATAATTATACTCGATTGAAAAAAATATTTTAAGTAAATATTTAAATAGTTACAAATTTAGTTATTATTATTACTATATAACAAAAATTTTTAATTAAATATTAAAATAAATTAATAATAATAATGGTTAAATTAATGTAATAACCAGTTCAAGTTGAATTTAATGACTCGTATAATTTTACGGGCCTGACATATAAGAGTCAATTTATATTTAAAAAGGAATTTATATATATATATATATATATAATTAACTTTCCCGTAATTAATACGGAATCATTCACTAGTTTTCAGAAAACCGAAGGACCGGTTACATTTAAGAAAGCATCCCGCCTAACCGAACCGTGAGCACTCCGTTTGTGAACTGCTGGTGGCAGGTCGGACTGACTACATTACCCATGGTTGTTCCAATATATGACAATTTTATCCAAAAAAACCACACAAACAAGTGAACAACAAATAATCCAGCAATTTTGGAAAGAACCTTTTATTTGGTTGGATCCAGTTGAACATTGGGACCCAACCATTTGCTGATTTGCATACTGGACACGTAGAGAACAATGGACCCCCCAAATCAGCCCACCTGTTTAGGACCCATAGCCCAAAAGTATGCCACATACCCCCACTTTGTCTCAGATGTCTACTCTGATGTTAATAATGGATCGAACATAGTAAAAGCCCATTTCCAGCCAAGGAGAAAAAAGTGGGCTTTGTCCCAAGCCCAGATAGTTAGAGGGCTAATAAATCTGGGGGGTAAAATACAAAAACTTCCTCTAAAATTTCTAATAATCATAAAAATCTCTCTTATAGTTTTATTTTAGCAAAAAAACCTCTCTTAAATTTTTAAATAATTAGACAAAAATCTCTCTTCCGTCAATAACCCAGATGGAAAACATCACTATTTACGAAATTATTCATCCACATTTATGAAATTGCCCTTATCACACACCCAAATCCAGGGAAAATCGACGCTTGTTTGTATCACACACCCAAATCCTTTGCGCCTTCTTTCTTTTCTTCGAGTAACATTAAAACATCAATCTCTGAACACGGTAATAAACCAATGTGATTGACAACGCTATTAACATTCCAAACATCACCCTAAGATTTAAACGTTGAACAAGATCAATTTCTGAACACGGTAAATTAACAGCATATCAAATCTGAACTTAGCTCTTCATTGCCAGATGAACGTTATACTCTTTGGCGAAGACGAAAGGGACGATCCCTTGAGGGAGCTCGACATGTAAAATTGCGATGTGGAGGAGATGGCCTCGTAATCCTATAGTAATGGAAGCCGCAACCATTACTGTTGGGCCCGTTAGAAAACGCATGACCATGATGAACGCTGCAACCAAGTTCCCACACGCCGGAGCACCATAACTAAACCGGTGCAGTTTCAGTCATGGAGACCTTCTTCCGATAACTGAATCGGTGCATTTTCAATCATGGAGCCGACCACACAAAACCAGGAGGACCACAAGAAACGTGATCATTGGTCCCACATATCGGTCAATGGACCTGGGATAATTGACACACCTCTTAATTTACCAGAAATGTCACAGGCTATTGCCATCCAACGTAGTCGTCGCTTGCAGTAAATGACTAATCCCATCAAACCTCAGTCAGCTCTCTGTTCAATCTTCTTGTGGCTAGAGAAGATTGACTCTAACAGGGGACCGTTAATAAGTTATTAACGCCGGTTATTCGTATCCGGCCAACGCTTAGGCTGACTCTAACACTATAATATAACTAACTGTCTACACAAAAGTACATACACATTCAGTTTCATTGACTGAACTCACCTAACCAGAACAAGGCCATTAGACCCGCGTCAGAGAGTATAGAGATTGATCCCTTTATTATTTGCAACATCGACACGTCCCACTTGCATTAATGAAAAAGAAATACTCCATAAGCTAAAAATTCAACAAGCATAACGACAAATAGTTAGAAAAGGAAATCTTCATGGGAAAAATCAGTTTTTCTTCGCCGAGAAGCTCACCGGAAGGAAATGAAGGACCAAATAACACCGAGGAGGCTGAATACGTGTTTGCACCATGCTACTTTACAAAATCTTTAAATGACGCCTCAGGGGTGGTAATTTTGTAAGTATAAATGTTTTTTGTTTGGGTTATTGATGGAAGGAGGTTTTTGTCCAATTTTTTAAAAATTTAGGAGGTTTTTATTAAAATAAAACTATATAAAGGAGGAGGTTTTTATAATTGTCACAAACTTTAGGGGAAGATTTTATATTTTACCTTAAATCTCGGTCAACTTGTTAATAATATGTTTATTGCTTGTATAGTTGTATTCATCAGTCTTCAAATCATTCATTCATTTTTCTTTCAAAAAAAGAAAAAAAAAATCATTCATTCTACCGGGAAAACAAGTTCTTTCAAAGAAAATCCAGTAAAGTCTGAAAAAGGGTAGATTGGGAAGCTCTGGAGTTTGAGACTGTTTCTGGAACCTTCCACACCCTTCCTATCTTTCCAGACACATCTCGAGTCTTTTGCCCACCTCCTTCTCTCTCCTCAAATCGCCATTTTTACGAATACCACCGCTGCTGCAACACCACCCATAAACGCTACCAGACATCTATTTGTTCCACCAACTCCAAGCAGATCTACAAGCTAGAACGAACCCTTACGAAACGCATTCCTAGAATCACATATCAGAAACCCAGAAGAATAAGGAGAAGACCAGAGCAGCAGAAGAGAAGATGGGCGTCGATTATTACAAGATTTTACAGGTTGATAGGAACGCCAAAGATGACGATCTCAAGAAAGCTTATAGAAAGCTCGCTATGAAGTGGCACCCTGATAAAAATCCTAACAACAAAAAAGAAGCTGAAACCAAGTTCAAACAGATCTCCGAGGCTTATGAGGTGACTGAATCTATCAAACATCTCTGGTTTTTATGCATATATCTCCTTTCTGAGACTACCCATCGATCTAAAATCTTATATTGGCTTCTGGGCTTCCTTGTTTTTAATTTTTTTTCCTCTTTGGGACCCGCCATCCCAAATTCTTTGAACCCTCTTTCTATGTAAACTTCTTGAGTATCAATCATCCCCAAATCCTATCTTTCCATTTCTCTACCTTTTCTGTTTTCTTTTGATTCATTCATTCATTTTTTTTTTAATTCTCCTATCTGCGGTTCCCTTTTCAAACCGTCCACCGTCTCAGAATTTCACCTATTATTTGCTTTAAGCATAAATTTTTTAGTATAACTAACCTTTTTAAGATCCCTCGTCATCAAGAAACTGACTTCTTTGTCTCTTAAATATCTACAGGTTCTCAGCGATCCCCAGAAAAGAGCCATATATGACCAGTATGGCGAAGAGGGGCTTAAAGGTCAAGTGCCTCCACCCGGTGCTGGCGGTCCCGGTGGCGCTTCCTTCTTCCATACTGGAGACGGCCCGAATGTATTCAGATTTAATCCGAGAAACGCGGATGATATTTTCGCTGAGTTCTTCGGCTTCTCGAGCCCTTTCGGAGGTATGGGAGGTGGCGGTGGAGGTACCAGGGGCGGTTCGAGGTTCCCGGGTGGCTTATTTGGAGACGATATATTTGCGTCATTCGGTGAAGGGGCGTCCATGAATCAGGGTCCTCGTAAGGCAGCTCCAATAGAGAATTATTTGCCATGTAGCCTTGAGGAGCTTTACAAGGGAACTACTAAGAAGATGAAGATATCAAGAGAGATTTCTGATATAAGCGGGTGAGTACATAGTTAATCTGTTTCAGCATTGTTCAGGTAACCGATATTATTCATACGACTGTTTAGATGTAACTTGCTGCAGTTGTCTGCTGATTTATATTTTGTTGAAGCTGACTGTTTGCTAGTTTAGCTAACAGTAGTTTCGTTTTAGATGATTAGTTGGTTGTTTTTCTGCTGTGGAGTTGTTGCATGCTTGTCTAAGTTGAGTGTCTGCTTTTAACCTGAAAGCTTACTAGTACTCTTATGGTCTTATTTATGATTGGACTTAGGAGTGTACCTCATTTAGGGTTACCTACTTCTTTTTTAGAGTACCGGAGTCTATTGCCATGTAAACCACAATCAACCTACTTTGATTTATTCTGCTATTTTTGCAGATGTTTCTATTTCAAGTGTTAGAGGATCAACATTTTCTCTGTTCTTCTCCATCGGAAGAAAAGATATGGATGATATTAGAGCACTCTCTCCAGAAACCTCTGAATGAACTTTGGTCGTAGACCACTTTATTGCGTTTACACAATGTAGAATATTGGAATTTTTTTGATGAATTAGAATATTGGAATTTTTTAAGGGATGCCAGGGTTCTTTGTAGGGAAAGCTGAGAACCTATGGCCTTCAAGTAATTAATTTGTGGTGTTTTCTGTCTAGATGGTTGAAAGAACTGGAAATACAAGGCATGGTTGGATATCCTTTGTCAAGTTTTTCCTAGGTAGTATTTTGTGTCATTCTGGTGACAATTTTGAGTTTGCTTCTCATGGTGCCTTTTTTCTGCTCATCTCCATAATCAAGAAACAAATGGTAATACTTGTTGGAATAGTGGTCAAGATTATACTTGTTTGAGGGCTATGGATAGATATTCTGTTACTAACCAACCAAAGATTCCCTGACGAGCAGAATAACTCATCAAGTTATACATATCAGATGTCAAAATGGACTTCTTTGCTGTCTTAACTCTCTTACAACAGTACTTTACTCGGTGGAGTGGTCATCTAGATGTCTCTAGATATCTCCTTTCTAGGTGCCTGTGACTATAATGCCCAGTTAATTCTTGTTTTATTTAAGTACAAGGACTATGCACATTTGTACAACTTGGGATGGGCCAACTTGAACAATAAGTTTGGGTGAGAGGGGAGGAGAGAAAATGATGATCAATATTCAATAGTGTTTTTTTCTTAGAAAATATTACTGTAATTTGATGTCTGTGTATTATCTTCATGTATAACATTTGATTTATTTTTTGATAGGTTATATAACATTTGCTCTTGCATGTGTATGGTAGTTATGATTTCAACCCACACTCACCTCACCAACCCAATTTCATGATTGGGTCGGGTTAAGGTTGAGAACTTTGGGTGAAGCAAGAAGATCAGCCAGGGGTGCAAGTGGGTTACAGGCCAGGCCCTCACGCCTATTCAAATTTTAGAAAATGCTCAACCCGGGCCCATCCAAGTTGCAGTCATAGGGTTAGCATTAGAGTTCAGGTCTTAACACATCAAGTTGGGCTACGGTTGATTTCAATCTGACGAGCTCAGCCAACCTGGCCCGACCTGCACCCCCTGGCCAAGTATCCATCAGTTATTAAAAGCTATGCAGGTGGATACTACCAATGGTTGAAGCTGCTTTTACTTTCTTGCAACTTACCTAGTGGTGTAAAAATTTGGCATATTGCCATTACATGGTATTTGATAATTCACTCAAATTGTTGGCATCCTTTAATGGTTATGTGGCAACTATCTTCACTTTATTATATTGCTCCATTGTTTCCTTAGTGCAATTCTTCTAAGTGTAGTGTTTATTGTATGTTAGATTGTTGCTAAATGTTATGCCAACTGTTCTTTCATGTCTGCTTCTGCTTGTAACATAATCTCCCTAGTGTATTGGTGTTGATTGATGATTTCTCAGTTTATTGATAACATGATTAAATGCGTTATGATTTTGTCCATTTTTGGATTCAGGAAAAGTATGCTTGTAGAAGAAATTCTAACCATTGACGTCAAGCCTGGCTGGAAGAAGGGCACAAAGATCACCTTCCCAGAAAAAGGAAATGAGCAGCCAAATGTTATCCCTGCAGATCTTGTCTTCATCATTGATGAGAAACCACATAATGTTTACACAAGGGACGGGAATGACCTGGTTACAACACAGAAGATATCACTTGCTGAAGCCCTGACAGGTTACACTGTACAATTAAAAACTCTTGATGGCAGGACCCTGAGCATCCCCATTAACAACGTGATTCATCCAAATTACGAGGAGATAGTCCCTAGGGAAGGGATGCCTCTACAGAAAGATCCATCAAAGAAAGGAAACTTGAGAATCAAATTCAATATCAAGTTTCCTACGAGGCTAACCTCAGAACAGAAGGCGGGAATCAAGAGATTGCTGGCTCCATGAGTTGTGAATCTGGCAACCTAGGTACAAGTCATGTGAATACATTCGCAGAAGGCTTTGCTGAATATGTAATTTGGTTGGGTTCAGTACATTTGTAATCTATTTGAGTTAATAAACTCAAAATTTTGATGGTCCAATTAGACCAGTTTACAGTTAGGCAGTTGATGGTTTTGAAGATAAGGAGAGTACAAGATTGTCTTGGTCTTGAATATACACGCAATTCATCCAAGGGAAAATTAGCCACCTCAACCTAAGTACGATAGTCGATATTTTAATTCTTGCTGAAGTAGTTTGCCTTTCTCAATTGGTTCGGTGTTCAGAACTCGGGCTCCTCATCCATATGCAATCCCCAACTGTCAATAGAGGGATTAGGCTCTTAGTGTAATGGCTGAAAGCTTCGCGAGTCCTTCAGGAAGTTCATTTTTAGTTGGTACTAGCAAGGAGCGCACAGAATAATTGGGAGAGCAAAAAATGAGAAAATGAATAATATATATGTAATAGAAAATGAATAATATATATAATTAAAAAAATGGGTTTCTAGTCGATAAAGGGCAACTTTTTGCCCTTAATATTAATAAAAATAACATTTTTACATAATAATCAGAATGAGATAGTTTTTTTGAAAAAATATCAAATAAAGGCTTGGGGTACTGTTGCTCGTCTTCTTTTTCTGTATTCATGTAAATGGAATTTTCACCAGAAACCAAATGGATTTGTGAGAAACTCGTGATCAAACTGTAAACCCTAAAATCTAACGGTTTTGCCTTATACCTATATACAAACACTTGATCGGTTGTTAATCGCTTAGCGTCTGTATATATTATTTGCTGTTGAAGCAAATGTTTTCCGATGAAACACGGTGAAGGGAGAGTAATCAAACGTATAAAACGTTTACTTTTCGAATTCCATCTGAGGAGTTCATATTTGGATCTACTTTTACAGCAGTGGTGACACTCACCAAGTTGCCGTTTGAGATCATAGATGGAAACCTTATTCCTGCAGTGTTCTTCAAGGGGTAACTATCGGTCTTTAACGCCTTTGTCTTAGCCTTCAACTTCGCCTTCTTTGGTGCTATTAGAACCATCTCTGTCCGTGAAAGATACTCTAAACTTGCATCGTATTTCCAACAGTTTGTTGTCATTTGTATTGCAAAGATTGCTGGAATCCTGCTATGGGTTACAATGGTTCCGGCTAGGTGTAGGCTGAAATCCTTTTTTAAGTATGGCAATTAAATTCCGTTTTAAGTTTTTAATAAACACATTTCAGAATATGAAACAATATATAACTTCTCAAAATAGGTAATCCCAAGCCAAAATTGATAAATGGATTAGAAAATTTGAAGTCAATGGAATAAAGGGAAGCTAGAAAAATACTAGATGTTGCTTCAAGAAGAGACGACAACATTGCTAGATGTTGGTCGAACTAACGGACTTCACCTTGCAATTATTTCGCCAAGAAGAAACAATATTTTTTTCAGATGTGCACGTAAGAAAAACCCAGCAGTGGTTTATCAATGGGATTCTTGTTTTCTATCATCGTTTTTTAAAAGTTCCATTTTCATGAATACAAAGGCAGAGGAGGATGATGAGCAACAGTGCCCACTGCCCTTGTTTGATAATTTTAAAAAAAGTATCTCGTTTTAGTTATTATATGAAAATATTATTTTTTATTGATATTAAGGGGCAAAAAGTTGCCCTTATTTGCTAGAAGCCCTTAAAAAATTAATTAATTTCTTCTATTACAAATATAATGTTTCATGCACAACTCTTCTAGCATGATCCTATAGGAACTGAAATGATTATTCATGATGCATGTAATCTGACAAGTAGCTTCCATTCACCATCAGGGGCATCAACATATTTAACTTGGATAGGACCCAATCCTACAAATGTAAAACATGAATAGATCAAACAATAGAATTACAGTTTGGAAACTACTAAGGCACATGGTGGCAACATAACTCACTCACCCAGGCAAAATATATTGATTTCTAATGGCCCTGTCAACTTCTTCTGAAACATCTTGTAGAAACGGATATTCATGACTTGATTCCATTAGGATATTCTATGTTCCACAAGTTAGGTTTGTATCCGGCTCTATGTGTGTGTATAGTTGGGATAAGGTTTAGATGGTAATGATGATAATATAAAATAATGTTAATTATAAATTAATCTACAAAGTAAAATCAGTAAATGACTTAATAACCACTTATACCTAATTTTCAAAAATATGATAAGATTTTGAATAAAGGATTAAGAGGCCTAAGTATCACTTCTATGTAAAAGCAAATTAACCCAAAGTGGGTGGGAGAACTGTTATTGGGAATAATCACTTAAGTGTTGTCATTTAGATGTTTATATTTATTCTACCTTTCTATTTAGTATTGTAGACAATAAACCTCCAAAAAGCTGGCAATTACAATACATTTGGGTGTTGTCCCAAACAACTGTCAACTTACTAATGAACTTCTTAATGAGGTTACGAGATATCAAGATTACTATAATTTCATAAACAAAATCACATCCGATGCAATATTTTTTTTCCAATAAAAATTGATTTCAACGAGTTAATTATTTTTTCATAAGAAGTTAGGAGAATATTATTAAAGGTGAAACCTAGAAAAAGGGTTGCTTCTCAACTAAATGCATTAAAAATTATAATAAAATACCAAGGATGTGATCATCATAACCACTAAGATTGAGCTGAACATAAAGTCACAAGTTCCATAAAAAAATTAGAGCCCCTATAGTATTCATATTAACGATAGAGTTGAAGCTTTAATTCTTGGCTGGCCAAGTAATGGAGGGGATTTTTCCTAAATTTAAAGAATAAAAAACCCATACCTAGGTTACTTCAGAATATTGAAAAGGACAATCCACAAGAAAAAATTGATATAAATATATACAATAAAGAAAAATAAATTTGGTGTCTAATATTACCACTATCAAATTAGAGACCAATAAACTTGAAACCAATGAAGTCCATCTACCTTAGAAAAGTAATTGAGTTATAAATGAATCCATGGAATTGTGATATTAAAGTAAGTTGCTAAAAAAGAACCAACAAAGCAAAAATATTACTGATCCATTGTTCCAATTGCCATTGGAATATTGCTTTTATGTACTCTTGGGTTCCAATCAATTACAAACATTGAACATTAAATGAAGTTAACCAAAGGCAAGCAAATAAGGAAACCATTTTTTAAAGAAATGCATAGGAATATAAATATAATTAAACTAATATTTTGCTTCAAACAACTTGGTAAAAAATCATATTTTTTAGCAAGTTCTATTTACTAAACAATCAGTTAGGCTTAATATACCTATTGTTCATGAATCAACCAAGAGGCCCCATAAAATTCAAATTGTCGTTTGTGACTATATTGTAAAGTTTGAAATAAATGAAGTTTTTGAATGGCACATTTGTCTCATTTTCTTTTTTCACAAAAAAGAGGGAGGGAGAGAATCGGTGGCTCGTTTGCCTCATACAATTGAAATGAAATCTTTTTGACAGGAAGATTCCATTTAGCGAAAGGGGCTTTAATATATACTAGCGTCATGCCCCTGCTTCATAGGGGTTAGTGAGCAGACAATTTACAAAAATTTTAAGAGAAAATATATAAATCAAATTGATGCAAAAAATAATATTACCTAATTACTTTATGGATATATGGAGCCACCATGGAAGTATCCTACAAAAAAAAATCAACTAAAAATAGATGATCCAAACTATCTATCTATCTATATATATAGATACATATATATAAATGCCAATACATCTATTATAGCCTATTTTGTAGGGCTGTTCACAAATAAATTCAAACCGACCAACCTGGTCCGACTCAACCCGAGTTGGCCGGTTTTTCCTCACTATCGGTCGGTTTCGGATTGCAAAGATAAACAAAACGATAATTTGGTTCAGTTTTGGTTTTCATATGTGAAAATCGAAACCGAACCGGGTTATGTGAAAATATATATATTCTGAAAAGATATCTATTAAATATAGCTATTTTAGTTTTAAATAATAAATATATATCTGAAAAAATATATATTCTGAAATATATCAGATATATATTTCTAGAAATTAGAAAATATATATTTTGAGATATCTGTATACATGTTTTGGTTTTAAATATATATTTCCAGAAAATATATTCTGAAATATTATATATAATATTAGCACTTTGACTTCATGTGCATTGTGCAAGCTTGGAGTTGGTTGAAACCCAAACCGACCCAAATCGATTCAAACCGACCAAATTGATTTTACTTAATAGAGGGTCGATTTCGGATTGGTCTATAGGTAACCCGACCAGGTCGGATTAGTTGAAAAAACACTAATAAACCTACCCAATCCAACCCGTGAACAGCCTTACTATTTTGAGCTGGGGAACATTTTCGTTGAAAAGTTATTAACTAAATCCCATTAAATACCTACTTCTCCCCTCCCCTACAAGGGTATACACTTCTAAAATGTATGCTAAATTAATTTTACTTAATGTATTTTTAAAATAATTTATTAAATACCTTAAATTTATTAGTTGTAACTATAATTTTTAAATTTTGAGTAGTTAATGTAGTTTAATATATAATTAGATTAATTAAGTTAATAATCTATTTAATTTATCATGATTAAATCAAATAAATTAACTAAGGCAGCTAATTAAATTATACTAAATTAATTTGCTTAACTTACCTAATTGAATATCTAAAAACATTTTTGAAGTTATAATTAGACAAAATCTATAAACATTCTATGAAAATTGATGCAATATAGATTTCGCATTGTAAATATTACAATTGAAATCATACCACTTCTTCTTCTTCTTCTTACATTAGGCCCCATCAAGTTCTGTACAACCCCCAACTCTCTTGGTATATCCCCCTCTCCCCAATTATGACACCGAGTGCCACACAACCCCTATCCCCCTCTGACACCACACTCCAAGTCCCACACAAGCCACTCTCTCCCGATCTCTTCCCCCAATTACAACACCAAGTCCTATGCAATCCCTCACTTTCTCTCTCTTGACACTAGGCCTCATCGGTTCATCGTGTCATCTCCCCTTCTCCCTCCCCCCTAATTATGACACTGAGTGACACATAACCCCTATCCCTTCCCCCCTAACACCATACCACACAAGACACAAGCCACACTCTCTCTCTCTAGTCTCTCCCCTAATTACAACAACTAATCCTACACAATCCTTTTCTTTCTCTCTCATGACACCACTCCCCATTGGCTCATCGTGTCCCACATTACCCTCTTCTCTCTCTCAAGTCTGGATCTCCTGTCCACGTCTATTGCAGTCGCACATGGAGAACATCTCATCCTCTACATAATATTATGTTGGGGGAGATGTTTCCAATTCATGGGAGGTAGTGTATTGTAAATAGGCGTGGACAGAGTTCTGTGGGCAGGAAATCCGGTCTCCTCTCCCCCTCTCCATCCCCCCAGGTCCACATAACATCTCTCTCTCTCCATTTTGATCTATGTGTAATATAAATTAGTTAATTGATCTAAGTCCACCCTCTCTGCCCCCCTCTCCCCCACCCCAGGTCCACATAACCTCTCTCTAACCTCTCTCTCCCTCCATCCATTTTGATCAATGTGTAATATAAATTAATTAATTGATCTAAGCCCACTTGATTAAATTAAAGATATTTTAACAAAGGTAAGAAATAGAAAATAATAAAAAAAATATAAGAATTAAGTGTTAGTGATAGTAGGAATAATAATAAAAAATATAAATTAAAAATATTTTAACTAATGTAAAATAGAAAAATAAAAAATCATGTTGTTTTGCTTACATTAAAAACAATAATAATCATAAAAGTATAGAAAATAATGAAAAAGTATAAAAACAAAAATAATAAAGTTGTTAAATTAATAATGTTGAAGAATAGGTTGTCGGCCCTGTAGCCAAAAAAGATCCCATTTTCTGTACTAAGTTATGTTAAAAGGTTTTTTCTAACCACCACTTATGTTAAAGTTCAGTGAAATTAAATAATTAATTAATATATTTAAAGTAAGGTTTAGATTATATTAACATACTTTATTAAGCTTTAATATAATGCAAGGTTCATTAAAATCCCCTTTTTTTTCTCATTGAATCAGGTTATTACTACTATTGGAAAGAATATTTTTGACCAATTTGAAAAAAAAAATAAGTATAGAAAAAAGAATGAAAATTTCTAAGATTTGGAAGAGAGATTTCAGGGGATTTAAGATGCATTTTATTTAAAACCAATTAACTAATACCAAAAAATATTATGTTATGACACGTGTAATACATAGTATATCTAATATTTTATATTATATAATATACAAGATATATTTTATGCACAAGCATGACAAATATAAAATATTTATTGAACATTTTGTATATAAAAAACATAAGCACAAGGGACAGGAAAATTTCTGTCTCAACCAATAGAAAACTGCCACGTCACCTTTTACATTTGAAACTCAAATTTAACATAATTAGACTTAATGTTCAAAATACATTTTAGTTTAAGTTATATACCCGCCCAACCCAATCCCTTCTCTCTCTCTCTCTCGTTCATTCCTCTCTCCCTCTTGCCTTCTTTCCCTCTTCCGTCGCCCCTCCTCCTCCCCCCTCTCTCGTTGGGAAGCAGGCAAACTCGAGAAAAGAGACCTGCAGCAAAACACCATTGGCCTGGGATTATTTGATTGATTTTTACACGTGTCGCTCTTAGGACCGAGAGAACTCACCTTTACAAACATTTAAAAAATTCAAGTTAAAACAACATTAAAGCAAAAACACAATTGGTCGATGGGAGGACCAAGAGAACTCACTTTTATAAACATTTAAAAATTTAAATTTAAAGCTTTAAAGCAAAACATTTAAAAATGTGGAACGAAAAACCGTTGGTCAATGAAATTATTTGATGGATTTTTATAAACACTTAAAAAAATTAAATTTAAAACTTTAAAGCAAAAATACCATTGGTCGATGAGATTAATTGATGAGTTTTTACATGTGTCGGTCCCCATAAAAGTAATAAATTGAATTGTAAAGAAACTTTTCTATTAAAATTTTCGCACGCGCACTCTACCTACACTCGTGTAGATGGATCCATTTTGTGAAACTAAATATTCCATTTAGCAAACGGACACAAATCGACCATACATGTACATCCTTTTGCTTTCAGGATATACATATAGATTGAAAATGAATCCTGGGCAAAAACATCTTGGCCATGAGGAAAAGCTAGGAGGTAGAGACGTAGGTAACTTGCATTTTCAGTTCAGTGAGTTTTGACTTTTGAGGATGGACAATGCTGAACCTGAGAATTAGTTCTCCATTATTCTGATGGGATGATGTTTCTTCCTGCAGTTTCACTTGACCTCGACTTTAATACAATACTTTGTTTGTTATTTTTTTTTTATCAATAACACTTTCATTAAATCATCAATAAAAGATTTACAAAATAAAGACAAACACGCTTATCTTCCAAGAACAACAAAGAACCTCAAAAAAAAGAAAAAAATAAATAAAGAAAACACACTACAGTTACAGCTTGTTATTCGTTAGGTCGCAAAAGACGGATTGTTAAGATTAAACTAAATTTTTTATTCTAGTTCAACACTTCAACCCAAACTTAATGATAGCTGCCAACTTGAAAAGTACATAATAAAAAAAAGAAAAGGGCAGAATTGGAATACCCGCGTAGCTTGGAAGGCAACAGTTCAACTGAATTCAGAAGAATACATTTTGGAGTATCGGCTTAGTGCTAATCTAGAAAGGAAAATGTATTTGATTTGATCAAATTCAATTTCTTCTCTTTTTGATATATATATATATATTTTTTTTTTTTTCATTGTTTCGCCCGCCCAGAATGTTACAAGTAAAAGCTACAGGGTGAGCGCTACAACTCTTAAATAAAAGAATGCAGGCTTTGTAAACATGATCATCGTTATGGCTAATAATCACTAACTTTCTGTATACTAAAATTAACTTACAAGAAAATTTTCTTAATCACTATACTCTGAAGACGTCGACCCAATGCCTTGGTCTTCATCTCCATTCCCCTCTCCATCCTCGTCCTCGTTCCCCACCCCATCCAACTCCCCGTCATCCATATCTCCCTCTTCATCCCCTTCCACCTCCCCATCCATTTCATCCACTTCATCCATATCCCCATCTTCCTCCTCATCCCGATCATCACCATCTCCATCAGCATCTACATCTGCTTCTTCACCATCTCCATCATCGTCTCCCTCAACATCCTCGTCACTTCCCTCCATTAAGTCTTCAGATTTTCCATTAAAAACCCCAGCATAATCTGCTCCCTGATCATCATACTCATCACCCGTTCCTTGACAATTGTCATCGGATTCAGATGATGCTTCTGCACTGTTACTATTTTCAGCCCCCTCAAAATGATGCATTCTCCTGGTTTCTTCAATATCCCAATCTCCCCCAACTGAGCTTCTTGGCGATTGCCCACCACTATCCTGCTTGGGGCTGTCAATGTTGTTGAAATGATGCAATACCGTCTCCTCAACCACTCTCTTCTGTAGTCTCTGCCTACTTCTGACAGTCCGGCGGCCCCGCCTTCGGCCACGTCCACGTGTTCGGCCTTTCCGCTCCAGACCTTGACCTATCTTCACACTATTGCCAGGTTCAGATCTGGATACAGTGCCTCTTCTCTGCCACCTTCCTCCACGACTGCGCCCTCGACCTCTCCCACGAACCCCACGTCCACGTCCAGAGCTATTACGCCCACTGCCTGGATCAATCCAGCTCTCTTCTTGCATATATTTACCTTGGTCAGCAGCTTCTGCTGGTTCAATCTCAGGAAAATTTTTTACAACCGTATATCTTGATGGAAGCTTCTGTTGAAAAAAGATGAAACTGATTTAAAAAACATTCCAGAAATTTTTTAAAAACAGAACCGAAACAAGCATTTACTTAATATCTGACAAACACAATTATTGGGTATGACCCAAAAGCTTGCCAACCAATTCAATAATCTAAGACCGCTAAGCACATCCACTAATTGTTGCATGTAAGGCAAGATAACAACATAAACGATCTCATAAATTCTGCCATGCATGATTTTTCCAATAGTATGCATGAAACGTTACAAAACTAATCATTCTCATATTTATAAATATTTTAACTTAAGAGTATACTGCTATTCATGAGATATAAATACTCACGATGAATTCCCCAGCTTCCTTATCCTTACTGAACTCCACTTTCTGATGCAGCATGTAGGAGATGGAAGCATCAAGTTCCATAAGCCTTAAAGCCACAGCAGCAGTTGTTAGAGGTACCCATGAAAGTACGGCAATTGATTCAGGAGGTGGGAAGTCATCAGTATTAGATCCAGATGTTGTAGAGGAACCTAACAGTTCCTTGGTTGTCTCAAAATTTGATGATAAACAGTCCCTTTTTATTGCGCCCTCCAACATAGTCAATAGCTGCATACATTAACAACTATATTTTAAGAAAGCATTGCAATTAATGCATAGATTAGGGGAAGCATAAGCTCTGATTTAGAAAAAATATATTCCGCAGGATCTTACTTAAATGCATCCCATCTCCAAGATTTTGCATTGCAAACTTGTAGAAGAATCAAAGCAAAATCACACCAAGACTACTACAATACAATATAGTTGCTCCCCCCAACATGATACTAATTTTTTTTATCAGTAACATGACACTAATTATGAATACCAACTACATAGATGAAAACAGACAAGAGTCTTGAAAATCAGAAAATGTTTTATCAGTAACAGTGAATTGTACTAATGGTGAAAGAGAACTTTGTATCCAAAAGGATAAAGAAGATAAAACACCACAACGCTATGTTTCTGAAAAATTACAACTTTGTAATAGTCTTTTTTATCAATAACAATGAATTTTATTAAAGGATTGAAAAATTACATAGCAAAGGAGCTAAACATTCTTAACTCCTGAATACATCCAATGTACACCCAACATGTAAAGCAATTACAACACAGCCCAAAAAATAGAGTTTCTATTCACCTTTGAGGCCCTTTATTGCACTTTATACAGAAAATTTTGTGGTAATCTCAAGACAGTAAAGAAGTTCTTATAACAAGTTCAACCATAAATTAAAGAAACAAATAAATGAATGGTGGATTGGATGGAAATATTATTCAAACACCAAAATTATTTTTGTTGGAAAACGAATCCTAGTTAAGAATTGATATTTGACTATACTTCATGGATTTAAGGTAGAAAAGGTCAAAAAACTCTGGAAACATCAAAGATTGAGCAGATTTAATTGAGAAAAACATAGGAAAAACCAAAGAAACATATGGATGAGAAAATAAGAATACAGACCTGCAGAAGCTCCTCAGCTGATGAAGAACTATGCAACTTGACACCCCAATATTTACGATAGCTCTTAGTCCAGAAAGATTGAAGAGCTTCTGGTGGAACAGAAACCTGCAAACCAAAAAATTAAACCTAGAAATGAGCAGAAGTACAAAACATGGAGAAAAAAAAGCATATTTTCAGCTAGAATATGTGCAATAATGTTCTTCATTCTCTTATTCAAACAGAAATTTCCAATAAACATATCCAACTTCTCACCTCAATTAAAGCTAGCATTGCCTTCAGTAACCTGGTTCTCAAGGGAAGAGAAGAATCTAGATCACAAGAATTCCAGTCAGGATCCACCTTCTGCGTTTCTTCACATTGAATCACATGTTCCGAAAAATTGAAATTTAAGTTGTTAGAGAAGTTGCTGAATGTCCTATGGCAAGAGGGGCAGTGGTTGTCTTCAAAAAAGTACAAATTTTGGCAGGAAACACAAGTGCCTAAAAGTTGTTGGCATCTTTTCTTCCCATATTTCATGGCACACAATGTTGTAGGAGTAAAGCACTCTTTCCACATCCATTTCTGGAAATCTTCGTATCTCTTCAAGGCATCATTTTTCTCGGATTTGTTCCTTCCAAGTTGAATTCTGAATGACAATGACTGCTCTGATGTTTCAGAACCTGAACACACCAGACTGCTGGGGCTATCAATTCCAGCAGTGCAATCAGAACCAGAAGCCATTTCAGCAGCTTCAGTTTTTACAGTTATTCCACTTGCATCCACAGTGTTGGTGCTAGATGAGTTCCTTCTTGCAGCTTCCTTGAAGGAATTCTCAATTTTTTGCAACATAGAGTGTAGATGGGATTCCCTGATGCCCCGTGTATCCAAAGATGCCAAAAGAGCATCAAAAACCTGTATGCAAATTGAATTTAATGAAACTAAATTGACCCAAAAATATAGATATGCACAAGATCCTGTATTTTAACAAAGAGGAGGGTAGCTTAATGTGCACTTTAGCTTAGAATTGCTCTCCACCATAAGACTATTGAACCCAAATGAAGAAAGAGATCATAGACTTCATAATTCATGGAGATGAAAGTATCCCAGCATGGACCTCTCGTGTTTAATTTTATCACTCACAATTTTCCTGTCATTGCATCTGGAATCATCTATCCTCGGGTATATTTTTAAGCTCCTGTCTCTATTCAATGAAATTCCTAATTTCTTTTGCTAATTATTTTCTTTAAAGAAACTCAACTCTAATCTATTGCAAATTTGCATCTGCTATGAACCTGTGACAAGTTTATAATTTATTTGTTTTTTTTTTCGGGGGGGAGGCATTTGCCAAAATTGCAAACTGTCAAATCCTAAGATTCAAAAATAAGACACTATGTGCAATTTATGTAAATAATTTATAAAATTGTAAGCAGGCCCTAAAAGATATTGCTACCTCTTCTGAGTCAATAAGCCTCCAGCAGCCATCATGAGATTCAAAAAAGATCCTGCCTGAGCCAGGATCATTTTTAGAAGCAGATGCAACAAACTGCCAGTATCTGTTACGCCTACGATCTTGACCAAGAGGTAAAGACCTGTATACATACATCTCTTCTGCTCTGTGACCAATAGAAGATTTTAACTGTCTGCGTGACTTTTCTGTGGCATATGAATGTTGCTGAAGTGGGAAATTATCTTGAACAGTGATCTCTTGACCTGCCAAGTTCCTTTCAGCAGGCATGTTACTTTGACCATTTTGTGGATCAAGAAAAGGCTCTTGCTTGAATGGGTTCAGAGAAGCCTCATTGTTCTTGTTATCAACACCAGGTAATGGGCTTTGGCTGCCTTCAATTGCAGGGCTAATAAGGTTATTCTCAGCCTTATAAGACGAGTATTGCAACTTTGTCACATACTCTTCTTTCATTCGCCTTTTATCCAGTTGCGCCTCTGCCCACATCTGCTTCTTAAGAGCATTTGCTGCTTCCAAACGTTCCTGCAAAACACTCAATTTCAGACCATGGATGAAAAAATAAATCATTAAATTAATTAAAAGTTGCACCTAATAACTTATTACCTCAAGAACAATACGGATTGAGTTTCCCTCAATAGCCACACCAATTAAGGCAACAAGCGCATTGAGACGCTCCTCCACACTAAGATCAGAGTATTCCCCTTCCATTATCCCTTGAACCCAGGGTTCACCTGAATTGCTCTCATCAATCTCCGTGTCCTCTTGATCAGGATTGCTTGTATCATTGCAGTTTCTAGCAACATCAACAGACTGATCAAAGGTGGCACCTGAACTAATCACTTCCTTGGTGCCTTCCGAAAAGAATGGAGAGAAGCTTTTCCCAGAATTGGGAAAGTTATGCGGTGGAGTTTCTCCAACCTCATTGCCAGAGATCCCCTTCTCATTTCTTGAACATGCTTGAGCAGACTTAGCTTCACCATGATGATATGCTTCTTTGTTTGGAGTTAATTCTTTAACATCATCAACCTCAGGATCATCAGCAACATCACAATCAGAATCTTCGTCTTTTTCAACATCATCAGCATCATCTCCGTCCTTTTCAGCTTCTTCGGAATCTGAAAATCCATTTTGAAATATCTGAATTTTCTCCCTGGCAGCAGCTAATATTGCCTCAGCATCAGCAGGATCCTTTCTGAAAGGAGGACGAACACAATATGTTGAAGGAGCTGTTCTTTCAAAAAGGGCTGAATCCCTTGACAATGCAGCGGCAATAGATGCCTCAGGTGTCTTGCTTGTTGTAAGGTCCCGGAGACCAGATTTCTTTAAGGAAAAAAGAAAAAGAATCAGAAAAGAGATCAGAAAAGCAAAAGACGTAGTCTTAATGTAATGAAAAATACCTGAATCTTGTCTGCAACTTCTAATATTGTTAACCCCTTGCTTCCCTCAAGAGAAAGAACATGAAATGCAGCAAATTTAACTGTTCCTGGGGTCAAGCGATGTCGTGATCTGCGTGGATGAGAAAACCCCTTTTCTTGCATTAAAGCAACAGCATTTTCAGCTGCTGTTCCGGTTCGTAAAATAGAAACAATATCTTCACCATCATGGCCCTGTATGTACAAAGAAAGATGCCCTATCAACATCTAGTGAAGACCACTCAACTACTCCAACAAAAATATATAAAAATAGAAGCTTCTAAGATAATTAGTCTTAAGTAAAATAACCTACAATCAGAACGAGAGAATTCAACATAATCGTTTCACCCTGCAACAATTTTTTACTTGGTAACTTAGATAACCTAAAATCACAGAACCATCTATGCTTCTACAATTTTTATATATTCTGACACAATTTCACTGATATTAGCAAACTGCTCCAGCTTATTACCAATTGAACCTTAGCCATTTGACAGAGTTACGACAAAAAGAATATAACAATGATGGTTGCAAACTTGGTGATACCTGTATTTATATAGAAATCAAGATTCTTTTTTTATTTACTTTTAAAGAAGAAAAGGATTAAGTATAATTTGTATTAAACAAGAAGAGATAAGAAAAGCCCCATATCCACCTTGGACATGTAGACTCGAGTATACACACTAACACCTCTAGTTTATACAAAAAGGGTTCTTCTGTAAGAAAGAATTAAATGGTTTCCCTTTAAATTACTATTCAAACCAAACCAAAGATGATATTCTTGCTTCAAGTATAGATAACAGCCTCTCCTCTGTCTCACTCTTATTTTCACAGATTCTTGAGTTTCTCAGTCTATAAAGTCCAAAATGCAGAAGATCCTTGCTTTTTAAGCAAATAACTTTTGTGCATTTATATTGTAAGCCCAATTACAATTTCATTTCTTGTCACAACATTGTACAAACAGTTCAAATAAATATTGAAACTACTAAATCTCAAATAAATAACTATCGAGAGGAAATTTAAAAAAAAAAATGAATGCACAAGAGTTTTCTCTTTCAATAAAAACCATCAAAAACTTGAATCAATGATAACAAAGGGTTTTAATGTATTAGTGGTGAACCTCGTTGTCATCACGAAAATAAGCCCTTCCAATACTCCTCTTTTTCAGCTGTGGCCCAAATCCTGCAGACAATGCAAATTGCCGCAGAATTTCAGGCCACGTCAATGGACTTAAGTGGCGCTGCCAGGTGCGTATGTCAAACCCCCATGCATATGCCTGATGAAAAAAGCAGACTTTTAAACAAAAACCTACACAAAAAAAGAATACTAAGCTGAAACTAAGATAAAAACAGCAAATAGCATAAAATAGAGATTACCCCTTCTACAATCTGTGGATGACCGCCTCCCGGATTAGCAGCACTATTTTGATTAGCACCAAGTCCAATAGAGGGTGTCCTTGCAACATCTTCTATATCTTTTATGATGGATCTCAAAAGAGAAACATGTATCTCACCTAGCAGTCTTGGATCCTGAAATATTGAAAAAAAAAATCAGCATGAATATCAAAATCGGAAAATTGGAGTAAATTAGACAATAAAGGGATAAAAATGAAACTGGAATAGAACTAAAAGACATAACTAATATAAGAACTTACATAGTCATGAAAAGCTTGAACAAATTCATCAAGCGTAAAAGGCCAAAGTCCAAGAACATCAGCAAAAGTAATTAAAAATCTCCAAACCTGAGAAATTCAACAACCCTTAAAACCTCAGAGCAGTATTTAATGCATGAGATTTTCTGAAACTGAATTTACTACCTAAGATCCAATCCTCCAGCCAAAAAAAAGAAAGAAAAGAAAACACGGTAATGTCTATTAGAGGTTAGATAGGACATACCATAAGAAGATTCCCTATGTTCTCATTTGAATCAGTCCAGGGCTGAACTGAAAAAGGCTTCTTTAATTTCACTGACTTGGGAGGAAATGTACTCAACATATCTAAGTAATGAAGATCTTATTAAAACCAATTAAAGGAAATACTGGAAACAAGACAAATCAGATATCTAAATACAGGGTGGAACAGAGAGAGAATAACAAACAGAATCTCATTTTTGGGTAAACAATTATGCCTCTGAAATGTATATAAAATGAATAGTTCAGTAATTAAAGATTCATACAATCTAATATCCAAACAAAAGGGAAACAAAGTTGATGTAGATTCATATTTTAGCCATTTTTTATGAAAAAAGTCAAAATCAAGATGCTTCTCTATGTTGTGTGAGTTAATCCAGTGTTTCTTGAATTGAAGATTTGACTCCAAAATTGGAAGATCATACATTTCAGGAGTGATCATTGTTCTATTCCCTTTAATATGTTTTCCTGCTTCTACCTTAACAAGGCAAAATGAAAAATCTGTTGCATGCAGTTCGCACAATTCTAGTAAATAAATTTGTTTTTCAGGGTTAACACATTAACCCTGACCCTGAGCAACACTATTCAGGAATACAATACCATAAAATTTTCTTTGAATCAAAATAGAAGTTAAAGAAAAAGCCATAAATATGCAATTGGAGATAAAAAAGAAACTCCTAGAATCATAAGTTAAAGATTAAACCAACAGGCAGTATTTGAAGATTAAAAAGAAAATTAATTGGAACAAATTATGAAAATTAGGGACATATCTGCTATGAAAAGTTAACAAATAGACCTCCCTCATGCAACAAACTATAACAATAAAAATAAAACAATAAGCAGATAGGTGATGTATTATAATAAACAGAAACATAATAATATAAATATAACTTATAATAACATGCATAGCAAAAGAAAGTTTTGACAGAGAAAATGGCAAATAATATTGGAAATCACTTAGGTGTTAACCTAAGCCACCAGAACATCATCTAGTCAGTCCCAGGAGAACACCTCAAGTAAAAATAAATGAATAAATAATAAGCACTTGGGCACCAGACCCCGCATTGGTAGGAGCCTCGTGTATTGGGCTGCCCTTTTTAATCACCTAGGCACCACCAACACACTAAGGTCCAAGAATCACCGAGGTGACACCTAAAGTAAACCAGGACCATCATAATGACATTGCTCACTGTATGATGAGAATTTCTCTCAAATAGAACCATTACACTCAGAAAATTGCTCTGTTGATGTGACAACAAACATAACATCAATGGCCTCAAATGGAACAAGAACAAAAGATGAGATAATCTATCACAGGGTTTCTTAAAACAGAACTATAACCCACCAATATGGGGTTATTATAGCAATAGTGCTAGGAGAGGAAAAGAGGGGAAATAGCATGACCACAGTTAGTACCTAATTACCTACTTTATGATATAATTGTCATCCTTCAGCAACTTTTCACTATCAATGACATTGGACATAATTCCAAGTATTTCTGATAAAAAATCTCAAACTCAATAACAGAGTACTATATTTCTCTGATAAATGAGACATCAATATCAAGCTTTGCCTGGCATTTTCCAGTCCCAAGCATAGAGGACAATCACCTTGATATGGCCTTAGACAAAAATGATAATGACATTAATAGTTACCTTGATACAAAAATGCAGATAACCTAGGCAATTAGTAATAACATATAACCTAGCAACATATGGACCCTGAACTACAAATAATTAACAGAGATGTTACAAAATGCTACCTCTGAATGACTCAAGGTTTTGCAGTGTTTCACCATCAAGAGATATCATTGAGGGCAACCCTTTTGTTGAAGCAGCCAATTCCATAAGCTCCAGTCTTTCATCCTCAATAAGCTCCATAGATTCTTTAGCAAGTCTGCGTGCAGTAGCCCTCTCATTAGCAGCTTTAATTCTTGCTGCCTCCTTTTCTCTACGAAGTTCTTCTTTCTGCCTTAATTTCTCAGCCTGAACTATGATAAAAAACCTCTACAAGTTAAACTGGGGCACAAAAAAATTCCAAATTCACCATTTATGATAGCAAATAGCCAAACAACTTACTCTAAGAGTTTCTTTCTGCAAAAATTTCTCCCTTCGCTCATTTTCACGCCTTTGCTCCCGCTGGAATCTCTCTTCTTCTCGCTGCCTTTCCCGCATCAACCTCTCTTCTTCTTTCCGCCTTTCACGATCATGCCTTTCCATTTCTTTCCTCATTTGCTCCTCTCTCTTCAATTAGGATGCAATCTAAAATGTTAGCTCACATCTAATGAACTTTGTAGAAAACAGAATTAAGAGTGATATGGACATCACCTTTCGCCTCAACATATCTTGTTTCTCAAGTTCTTTACGAATACGTTTTTCATGGGCCTCAACTTCCCTTGCTATTCGTGCTTCATCACTCTGTAAACAATAATAAAATGTGTCTGAAATACTGCTTCAGTAAAGTGAAACAAAACCTAACCCACTTCATATAGGTTAAGGATACCTTGCGTTTCCTCTCCATCCGAGAAACATCGTCTTCATGGAAAACCCTCCTATCGGATGGTACAAATGGATTTTCCAGTCCAATTGGATGGGAAGCAAACTGAGCATCCATCCCAATGTTTGTATAGGAGTTCCTGTGTGGAACATTTTCATACTCTCCTGAACCTGATGAGAAGACATGGCCCTGCCTAACTTGCTGGGGCAAATGACCAACACCTGGCACCTGTCCATGGAATCCATAACCAATTCCCATCTGTTCATTTCCATGAAGAAATGTCCCTACGGCAGATAATGATGAAGTCCTGGAACTTGGACCGTCAATTGGTGAATCATAGAAGTGAGATGGGGCAACTCTTTCGTAAGCATCAGATCTAACAGTTGGCTGCTCTGGGAGAAATTGATATTCCTGGACAGTCCTTGGTGCAGTCTGGGGATGAACCACATGAACTCCAGTTGCTGATTTTCTTTTTCCACTAGACGAACTAGGTACAAAGCAATGTTCCATATTGGGTAAAAGTGATGATGTCTGCAAAACACGGGCAGGGAGCAAGATCAGGCAACTTCTAAATTCTTACAAATGAAACATAAAGTTCCAATAATTTTAAAACCATAAATAAGAGGATATGATTTCTGGAACAAAACAACAATAACAACACCCAAAAGCTGTTTGAATGGAATTTTTTGAGTGTAAAACCCAATGCATCAAGGTGATGGAGAAAGACTTAAAGCTACCATAAAATAATTAGAGGAAATAATACATTGTGAGTAAAATGGTTAAACATGCCATTAAACAATAATCTAGTCTATTCAAATTTGACAAACTAGTTCTCTTGTTATTTACTTAAGGGATCCAAAATAAGGACTGGACATTTACATATGTATGGGGATAGAGTTGCCCCAAAACATATGGGGCAGGCTGACCTGCTTCACACTAGTTTTTTTTTTTTTTTTTTGATAATTGAAGACCTGCTTCACGCTAGTTGTGTTTTGCAACTTCAGAATTCTGGTTCAGCTAAAATAGCAGGCAACAAGTATGCAAATAAAAATAGTTTTGGTGCAAGATGCCAAAGAAAGAACTTTTCCCTAGCAAAATGCAAAAATTCCTCCATGAGATCAAATTGAGCAAACAAAAAGCAGGGATAAGGATTGGATAATGATGATAATTGAGCAAAATTGCATTGGCTTGCTAAACTCAGGCAATAGAACTTAGGAATAAAATCTTTGTCGATAAGCTTCATTGCACCATAAGGGCACCACATCAAAAATTGAAATAACAATTGCAACAAGTAAGCACAATCAGATTTTAAAACAATCTTACACAGTACAATATAAGGTCCATTACTTGGTGTAATGGTAAAATCTCAGGCTTGCATGCATGAGAATGTGGATTTGAGTCTGAAGGGAGACACTTTGTCCGGAAAAGAAAGTGTCAAAGTTTAGGACTGTACCCGGTCTACCCCTCCCAAGACTCCAGATAGTTGGAACCAGAATTGAGTAAAGGCCTTTTTACACTGTTCCAACATAAAGTCTAGACTATCATTTCAATGATGAATCATCCCATAATTCCTATACTTTAAGGCATGTAATCACTTACGTGAAGATTAATGGCACCAAAAGGTCAAATCAAAAATCAATAAGAGTGCAAATCAAGAGATTTTCATATCTCAACAAATTACCTCATCATCAAACAAAATGTAAATAGGCATATCAGAGAGATTAAACATTGAATATGACACCAACAGTATAGTTGGGGAGTGGACGACAAACATTTCAAGATAGAAAAGGATATTCACATATAAATCGATGATGAATCACCAGACATCTCATCTTAATCTGTGACACACAATACTGCAGAAAGAAAACATTCCAAATTCATATGTGTGAAAACTAACTTTGATCGATTTGGCATCATGCCGCTCATACACATTGCCATCGTAAAGCCGTCCACCTTGCTTTTGTTGTCCCATTACTGCTGTACCATAGACAAACTCGGGGAAATTAGCAGGATCATTTACTTTACATTATTTAGCATAAAAGAAAACCCAAGTTCCAACAAATTAGCAATTATTTCGCTAACAATTATTTAAAATAATAGATCATAAAATTGTGTTTGTGCATGTACATAAAAGAAAAGTAAACAGGAAATAGATCCATTAGCAATCAAAATTCTACATCTTGACACCATTTTATAGGCAGCTCAGTCTTTATGAAAGAGAAATAAAGAAAGTAACTATAGTCATAAAGTAAAATTTCTGAAAAAAGCAAAGAAGACAATGTGGCTTCATACTTTGCAAACAAATATTCTCAAGTAAAGACAGAAATAGAGAATGTTCTCAATGTAGGAAGATAATAGATGTTTAGCATTGATAAGAATGACATATTTGTGCAAGGAGTCATGCTAATCTTCCTTGGAGCACATACTTTAATGAGTAGTTTATATAACATAGGGATGTTGCAGTGCTAAAGATGTACGGGGATTCAAATTCATGCGAACTCAAATTTTTGCCACATTTGCTGCCAGGAGAGACACAAATGTAGTTTTTTCAATTTTAACTTCAGAAAAAGGTACTCTCAACCTCCACTGCCAAGGTCCACACTCATCTCTTGTAACAAAAGAAATATCCATGCGCTGACCATGCAATTTTTTGGCTATTGGATGGAATACATTACAGTTCATCAAAAGCATTTAGAAGTTAGAACTATAGTTTGCAATTTTGGATGAAGAATAACAGCGAATTTGGAAAACTACAACAGTGTTTTCTTTTGATAGTTAACTGGATAATTTAGAGAAAAAGAGTAAAAGAGATTCATCTTTGGAATCCCAACTATATCAATCGTAAGCAAGCATATCTAGGGAAGGATGTCAAAAGCACCTTGGTAAGGTATGAGGCTTCACACAAGATGAAACATAAGTGAAGGAATTAGAGGTTGTTTAGATTAGAGATGAACAACAAAGAGGTATCAGCATTTAATTTAGAGTCGGCACATATAAAGAACAAGAATGGATGTGAAGCCCTAGAGGAGGTTAGTTGTGCTCTGAATGGAAAAAAAGTGGTACTAACATTTAACATTTCAAATTTTCAATTGCATGGAGACTTTAGTTTACATTCTTCATAATTAGAGACTAGAGACAGCTTCAGGTCAGGGTACTTAAACTTGGGGTTAAGCATTTATAAATTTATAAATTTGAACATATTCAAATTTCTGAACCATTCATAATTCTTGTTCGGCACATTTAAGGGGTCTTTGCATAATGCCCCTTTTACAGAATGGGCATAAGGGGTAGATTTGGATAAGCACCATGACTTTTTTTCCTGTGACTCAACCAAAAACGTGTGGCCTGTAGAAAATCCTCCCCTTATTTCATCTTGTTTTGTTTAAATTTGGGCCACCAACTTAGTGTTGCATACATAGACTATAAGATCTTTATCATAAATTTACTCAATCTTAGAGTTGAAAATTTTTAACAGCATTGATTCCACAATCAATCACTCCACCCATTAAATAGGTTCAAAGAAGATAAATTCCCACCAGAATCGGTACAACCACTACTAATCTTGTTGTTTTAATTCCCAGACATTCAGGGAGCAATAGCATGAAAATTCTTTCATGGATACAACAAGATGTTGTGAGAAAAGAAAAAACACAGCTATAGAAAAGCTGACCCAACCCAGTAATTACAATTGAGCCCAATACATGAGTCCATTGTACCCCTTGCTTAGCTAGACAATCTGCCAAGCTGTCAGCAGTTCTCCTCCCCCACTTAACTTGGATTGCCATGTCCTTTGATAACCATTTAAATCACCTGAATTAATTCCTCAAATGCCATGTCACCCCCCCCTCCTTTAGCCATTTCACAACAGTTCTCAAGTCACCCTAAATGATTAGTCTATCAATACCCAGCTCCTTTGCCTTCTCAACCCCATATACTGTAGCCAATAGTTCTGCTCTTGCCACATCACCTTGTTCAGCAGGTTGGCAGCCGAAACTAAAACTTTGCCAAACTCTCACGATCATGGATCTGATAAAAAATGAACTCATCCAAAGGAACCTAGGAGTAGCTCAAATAGATGATAAAATGAGAGGAATGGAATCCTCTCCCCCTCCCTTGAAAATGAAATCCCATTCCAGCTGAATCCAATTCCCATTTCGATTCCTGTCTGAACCAAACAGACTATGGGAATAGACCATTCAAGATTCCGATTCTGATTCCGACTGTGAACCAAACAGACCCTGATTGTTGATGATCAATAAAAAAGGTACTATAAGTGTATGAAAAGACCTTCATACTCACAACAACCAGTAACCATTACTTTCGTTGATAATACTCAAGGGTAGGCCTGGCTGCTTGGGTCAGACCTTTAGGCAACTGCATGGCAGTTTTACATATCTTTTATGGTTCGACTACGATGTCAGAAAGACATGATACCAGAAAAACTTATAACCAATCAACTAGCATCATAAAAATGGTAACCAATCAAGTAGCTTTTCATCAAAATTCATGGTGAGTTACTATCAAAAAAATCACTGTGAGTTTTGATTGGTCAAAGTCTTTCTGGTATCATAGATTTTTCCTATCTTTTATTATCAAAATCAATAAAGTTCTAAGTTACCAATAAAAAACATTAACATTTTAATATTATTCTTTGCATTATATAATAGTCCATCACATCTTCAATTATTTTTTTTTATAAATGACTAGTGTACCATGCACATGCAAAAGTCAAAATAAAAGACATTTAGAATTTGAAAAAGTTTTTTTACTGTACCACTTTAAATGTCTTAGCCCAGAGATTAGATTTAAAGATTAAAATATTTGTGGACAACTGCTCTTTGCAATCATTGGCATAATATAAACTATTAAAATATTATGATTAAACTTTTATGGCCTCGATGTAAAGCCAAGGCAAGTATCGGCATCATAGAGTAAAGATAATTATATTATTGGATGGAGACAGGAGAGGTTTGTGATCTCTTACAAGTTGAAGAGTCAAGATGAGCCAGGGGCAGAACAAAAAGGACATATGTTGAAGTAGTAGGAAAATGATTCAAGGGCCAATTATTTAACAATGAATATGACACTGAACAGAGAGGAATGGCAGAACAGGATTCATGCATGGTTTTCGAACCGCCGTTGACCCAGATGGTCAGACTGTTTGGCCCAGGAACCATACAGGCAACCGGTTCGGTTTTACCCCAAACCTGGTCCCTGGCCAAAAACCGTTGAATCAGTCGATGACAAGTTGACCCGGGCAGTTGAACTGTTGACCCATTCAACAGTTTTTGGCCATTTTTTATTTTAACTATTTTTTTGTCGGAACAGGATATCCATTCGAACCAAATGGTCAAACCGTCGACCCAGAAACGGGTGGCCAGAACAGTTCCGGTTCCAGGTCACTTTCTAAAACATTGGATTCATGTAATTGTAACCAACCCCATAAAGTTGGGACAAGGCTCAATTGAGTTGGGGATCCTAAAATATAAGCAGGCAAGTCCCACAATGCCTGGCGGTCAAGTACTTATTGCTTTTGCATCCTATAAATGAGTCATTAATGGTAAATTCAATGGTTTGAACATAAAATATGCACCCTTGGCATGGTTTTGGTTACCAAGATAAGACCTACCGCCCACAACATCTGCAAATGGTATGCCAAGCAAGGGGTTTCTAGGGATCAATTGTTTTGTAATGTAATGTAACATCTTTAATGGACCAGGCTGTTATAGCCCGTGTTGTAAAATTTTATTTTCTCCTAATTCCAATGAAATTTTCATGTTACTGATAAAAAAGGGATAAGACCTACCACCTACATTACCATTACCTGTTATTCTCACTCCACATCTTTCGTTATTAGATTTTCTCAAAGAAAAATTAAAGAAAACAAGACACTATACCACCATTCTCTCTCCCTCACTAACAATGTTTCCTACCCCACAAAACTGAATTACATGAATGAGTCACTTTGAACAAGAACATAAAATACAAGAAAACACCCATGGACCCACCTTTGATTTCTTTCTTGTCATCCTCACTCCCATCAATCTAAAGATAAGAGTTATCATACCCATTCTCAATTCTTAATCATTCTATCAAGCCAGACTACCTTTTATTATTGAAAAGATAAATTATTGTTATTTAGAAATCTAATTTAGGATTGATTTGGATTGGTTTTACTTCATTAATGATAGGTTTGATTTATATGACAAGCTTGTAAACATTTTTTTTAGACTTAATGGATTATTAAATCATTATTGTGATGATATTGTTGTTTGTAATGAATGTCAGAAAAGGAAAAAAAGATACAGAGAAGTTCAGAGGGATTACAAAAACAGTTTATTCTGGCCCTCCAACGAAAAAGGTTCCCGGTAAAAGTGCAACTAAAGTGCAAGGGGTCCCTAGTGCCTATGGTTTTAAACGTTACAATTGAGGGTGATTCTAAAATTGTAATAGACTGCTTAAATGGGATAGATGAGTCACCATGGAAAATTAAATTTCTTATTGAAGAATGCCATTTGATTTGTAGCAGAAATGGGTTGACCATGTGCTAAGCTCACATCTACAAGGAGGCAAATGCTGCTGTAGATGGGCTCGCCAGTGCTGGCCATGAAGTGTTTCCTAGAGATAGGGTTAGGTCTAGGCTGATCTTTCAATTACATTTGCTTTTGTGATAGTTAGGGAAGGGCAATCCCCCATGTTGTGTAGCCCAAAACAAAAAACAAAAAAACAAAAAAAAACAAAAATGAAATTTTGGTTCAGACCTAACCATCAACACAGCATATGAAGATTTATTACTAAAGATATTAATAAATTAATTAAAATTTCAACAAAAACATCTAAAATTCCAAACTTTGTAAAAAAACGCTACATAAATGACAAAGTTTCCAAAATTTAAAACCTTTAGAGCTCAAGGTGCAAGGCACAAGGCATGGCCTGAATAAAGTGAGTTGCATCCTATGAAAAAATAAAAGGAAACTTAAAATATAACAGTATGCAATTCCAAAATTCTTAAAGAAAATAAAAATCTGTTAGCTCAATTGACTAGAGTGGTATGTTAGAAATGAGGGTTATAGCTTTGAAGGTTCAAGTTATATATAGGCAAAAACGTTTAAACGTAAAAATCATAATTACAACTTATATTTATAATATGTTAAATTACCCATTCAAACATCAAACTTAAAGTTAATTCATCAAAACATATCAAGCCAGGCTAGAAGCACCTAGGTTTAAGCAAGGCACACCCCACAAATCAGTTTGACCTCTGAAATTAGGTGCAACTTTTAAAACACTGGTTCCATTTTTGCATGAAGCTTTTGTCCTATTACTTGTCAACCTTCAGTTCAGATTATCAAGATCATCTACATGTGGGTGAAAATGCTAATACGGTCGTTTTTAAATAAAATGACCATCACTTTGTCCCCAGGTTGTGGGCATTATTGTAGATCCATCACCAATGATATAAACTCCTTAGTAGGCAGTGCATTTGTTCAATTCAGTTCCTTGGTTAAGGTTGTCAAGGCTTTGGTTTGAGATCTTGCAACTGATAAGATAAACAGATACCCATAACATAAGAGAGAACTAAGCCCTTAAATGTTGGTAATGAAACACTTTGTAATCCCCATAAGATGATGCGGATGACCTTACCAATTCACACAAAATTAAGAACTTGAAAGTAAGGTGTAATAAGAACCAACTTCTGAGAAGAGAACATTAGAGTGGAATAAGTACCCAAAGGAGCGCCAAATGCATCTGGTGGCAAAGGATCAAACTCCATCCCAAGAATGGGCCCGTCTTCCCTCAACGGCTCCCCCAACTGAGCTTCCACAAAAGCAATCGCACGTAGCTCGGTTATGGACTGCGGCGGTTCATAATACCTCTTCATCATTGGCATATCAGCTCCAATCCTCGGCACAGCGGACGACGCTCGAGCAACAACCTTCCTCGGCTCACCCTGGCCAAATGGACTGGACCCCGACCCCGACCCCGACCCAGGCTCATTACCCAGCTCACCACCCACCATCATTTCATCTCCAACCCCACCTGACACCGGCGCATCCTTCCTCTGTCGCTTTACCGGCGCAACCTTCCTATCTTTCAACCTCCTATGACAAAACCACATCTGCAACTGCCGATCCGTCAGCCCCAGCTTCGCCGATAGCTCCGCTCGCAGAGACTCCGACGGATACGTCTCCACTGATTCGCATCCAAACCCAATAAATCAAAACCCTAAGAAATCGAAAAACGCAAACATACCAAACTAAAAAGAACCAGAAAAAATTCAAAATTTTAACAGACCAGCGTAGGTCTTCTCAAGGAGTTCCAACTGAGAAGCAGTCTTCATTTTGCGCTTCACCTTCTGTTCTCCCCCGCCTCCGCTACCTCCTCCTTCAGGAGGCTTTTTCTTCTCCCCCTCTGAACCGGCCTCCATTGAATAACAAGATCAACCCCACAAAAGAAAGAGATTCAAAGCCGCTTCCAACCCTAAAAATCGAGACCCAGAAAGCAGAACAAACTAGGGTTTCGGAAGAGAAGACAAGCGAAGAGAGACAGATTTGGGAACCCGTTCTGATGTAGAATTAATAATAACAATGTTTTGGGTTTTGACGAAAAGGGAATGTGAATTGTTCTGAGTCGTGATAGCGAAGAAAAAAGTGGGGGATGATGTGCGGTGAGATTTGGAGAATAAAAATAAACAATAATAATAATTACTAACAAGGAGTAATAGTTGTTGAAGGAGTTGTGATAAGAGATTACTATTAATAATATTATTAAGAGATTGTGAGAGAAAAAAAGGAAGAAAAACTAGAAAACAAGAGATCGTAATTGAAACAAGAATTAAAGATGAGAAACAACGAACAGTCTCTCTCGTTTCCATCTTTTCTTTTTCTTTATTTTTTTTCTTTGTATCCTATCAATCTAAAATACCAACGCGCGTTGTAATTTCTGTTGTAAAAAAATATGACAAAGAAATTAAAATTAAAAATTAAAAGTTTCTATTTTTTTTCTTCGGTGTTGGATTACTACTAAGCTTAAGATGCTTTGAAATCGGACGATCTATTCACGAATCCATTTGTGGTTCCTCTTTTTTATTTTAATCTTTGAATTTTGGAGTTATCTTTGTTTGTTCCTCTCTCTCTCCATTTCTCTCTCTCTATCTGTAGTTTGCTTTCTCTCTCTAAATCCAAGCCCCTCGTTTTCGCGGGTTTAGTTTTTACGGGTAAAAGCTCGGGCTGGGATTGAAGCTCAGGTCTGTCGGGTAGTGGGCCCTGCCTGATGTCGTGGGGCCCACTGATTACTTTTTTTTTAATTGAAGAACTTTAGAACTGGGCTGGATGTTGAGGCTCGAAGGCTTTTCCCCAATTTGGATTTGACGTTGAACTTTCAGCTGCTGCTGGGTCAACTTTTGGTTGAGAAAGAATCAAGTAGATTCTTTTAGTTTGGGAGACCATGGACCGGGGAGCAAGAAACGTAGCCCACCGGCCCAATGGCTACTTTGGACCACCAAACTTGTGGGGCCCCATCATCTGATATGTTTAAATAACAATAACCATCTGATGGACCATAGCGAAGTCCAATCCAAACTGACCACTTAGAACTGAGGATTTGAATCCAAACCGTTCATTCATAAAATTCGTCTCCTACGTAAGGAATCAGCCAGAACCAGACAGCCATTTCTATCGAATTTCAAGGAGACAAAATACGTGTGAAAAGGTTTGAATACTTGAAATGGACTTAATATTGAACACGTGGCCTGCCAGAAATCAGATTGCTCACGTCATTTATCCACGTAGCAGAGATAGGTTGAATCAGACGACAGCTGCTTCAAACGCATGGCTGCGTAGGCCCCACTTTACCCCTAAAATGGTATTATTAAAGTCAGCTCATGCCCTACATCAAAAGTGAAGACCCTACATAGATCTCAGGAATTGAATTTGGCATGAATCCACGGGCAGATTCAGTCCACCCCTAATGTAGTAGTAGTTGCAGTTAGAGCTGGACTGAACGGTAAAACCCCCCAAAAAATTTAAATGTGGGAATAAATTTTGTTGTTTAATTATAAATTGGAGGGTAAATTATTAAACCCCCCAGGTTTTTCCTAAATACTAGAACTTTCCCTCTCTTTTTTTATTTTGGAGTTAAACTTCCCCTCTTAGAATACATGCCTTTAAATCTAATTAGTTCCAATCAGATTAATGTAAACTAAACTATATTAATTCATTATTGTTTTATATTCATATTAGTATTTTTGTAAATCACATCTTAAATCGAATATCTATGAGATTTATGTTAGTTTAAAAGGTTTTTAACTATTTGATAGACTTGGGGACTTTATTTTTACAATGTTGGCATTGGTGTATTACCAAAATGATAAAGAAGCTTGTCTTGATTGCTATGATTAGACCTAAATACATTTACAAAGTGTTTGCAAAAAATACTAAACATTGAATAATTTCCAATTATGCATTGGACCTTCGAAGAATGGGTAAAATCGAAAATTTGCACTTAACCTCATATTTGATAATGATATTGCACTAGGTCTTGCACTAAGTTCTTTTTAATATGCTAATTAATCATATCCTCTTAGGCTCCGTTTGGTTTGTGGGATGGGGATGAGAAAAAGGAAATATTCCAAAAATATTCTATTTTCTCTTATTTGGTTTGAGGGAAAAAGAGGGATGGGATGGGAAAGACGTGGGATGACAGATCCCAAAATTATGGAATTGGGGTCGCATTGTTTTGGTGTGACCCCGGTGGAAAAAATGGGAAATCACTGTTACCACTTACCATCACGATGAGCAGAGGAGGGAAGGCCGAGAAAAGCGAACCAGCGACGACAAAGAGGAAGGAGAGAAACAGTAAGACTCCGTCTTCCTCCCTTTCTCCCTTTCTCAACGACAACGAACAGACGATAGTCCCCTATCTCTGTCCCTGGGTTCGTCTTCCTCTTCTCTCTCCCCCCTGTCTCTGTCCTGTTCTCCATTTCTCAGTGTGACTCCGTCATCCTCTTCTCTCTTCTGCCTCACCGTCTTCTCTCTTCTCCCTCGTCTTCTCTCTTCTTCCTCTTCAAACTATAACAGGCTCAACAGGAAGTTTTGGCTCGGATGGAGGGGGTCGGGGGCTGGCGAGAGTGCGCATGTTTTGAGGAATGACGAATTGGGGAATCGTCTTCACCGTCAGGCCAAGACTCCGACTCTAATTCATCAATAGGTCGATTGGAGTCGAAGTCTTGGCACGACAATGAAGACCTCAATTTCGCAGTGTTCATCGTCATCCTATTGAGGTCTATATAGACCTCAATTTCGCAGAGGTTTGTATAGTCTTCATTGTCCTACCTAGAAATGTATAGACCTCAATTTCGCAGCCCAATGTCACCCAGAATCATCTCTTCTAAACTATTATACTATTTTCCTTTTTTTTTCCTTTATTCACGGTTTTAATGTGAAAGTAACCCAGATACTCTGCTTAAAAGTTGATTGATTCCCAAAATTAACTTCAGTTAAAACAATGCAAATAACAAAAATTTCTCAAAAAGCAAGAGTTACAATATTAGTAGAAGAAAAGATATAGGATCATTGTATTTTAATCAGAGAGATATCGGTTGAAATAGCCACAATCGAATATATTATATTTCCCATTCTACTAAAACAGCCACATACTCTACTAAAACAGCGACGAACAGTCATGCCTCTGTTCGCGAAATTCCTAAAGAAGGACGAACGGAAGTTCCTGAAGGGGTTTTTCAATATGGTGGTGTCTTCTATTTGAAGGGGTAATCGTGTCGTTGTTCGTCTCGAACGAAGGAGGAAGGTGAACAATGCCATCTTTTACACTTTTTCATCCCATCCCACCCAAAATCTTCCCTCAAACCAAATGGAGCCTTAGGGTCAAACACCTGGGTATGTTGGAGAAATTCATAATATTACTTGAGAGGGTGATCACTAGACTTGTTCACAAGTCGAGTCAAGATGTGTTCGAACTAGGCCTAGGTTTTGAGCCTAAGCCCAGCCCTCATATAAAGCCCAAAGTTTGGGCCTGAACTCAAGCCCAACCAGAAGCTTGAAAAATATTTTTTCTTTCTTTATTCAACAAAAAATTGCTTTGTACCTTAAAACCCAAAAGTAGTAAATGATCGCACTATTACTTGAAAAAAAAAGAGAAGAGGAACAAAGAAAAAGAAATATTATATACATACATACATCTAGTAAGGGTTCATGTGCTTTGCACGTGGTAATTTTTTTTATGATGATGATAGCAAATAATATTTGCCCAAATGATTTTTAATTTTTTTTTATATTTTCATATTTTTAAATTTTTATTATTATTTAATTATGACATCAAAGGTTTATACATTTGACCCAAATGGTTAAATTGTTGACTTGCCACCAAACATGAAACAACTCTCTTTTTGGGTTGGTTTTAAATTTATATTTCATTTCTACTATCTATAAAAATGATTATTTTTGTGACACACTTTTTAATATTAATATTAATATGATCAATCAATATAAGATTCAATGAAATAATGGGCTAATACCATAAATATAAGACTTAAAGGGAATTGAATTAGTAGAAATGCAGTAGACTAAATTACACTTTGTGCCTCCACAATTAGAGGGGGACCAAATACAAAAATAGTCAATACCTTAAATATAAAACTTAAATGAGTGGGATTTGAATGAGGAATAAATGATTATTGAAATTACATTTCTCAATCATTTCTTATTAGGTTTAAGCTATATATTCCATGCCCATCACTAATAAAAATATGTTTGTTTTACCATACTTATTTTTTTAATATAACAAATATATAATAATAGAAACATGTCCAATTTTTTTTTTCAAAATCTCATTCTTTTTTGTATTTTTATATTTTTAAATTTGTATTATTTATTCAGGATATCATGAAATCATCCATTTGACCCAAATGGTTGAACTACTTACCCACCACTTGGATGAAAAATATGATTTCATTTTTAGGTTTATTTTAAAAATATAAAAATTCATTTTATTAATAATTAGGATTAATTACTTATATACCCCATATACTTGAGAAACTATATACATATACCCTGAACTTTTAAAAACAACTTATATATACCTTGTTGATTTTTCTGGGGTTAAGTTTAATAGATTAAATGTAAAAAGATGCAAGTATCCCTAATTATTCATTAAATTTTCAAAATATGCCATTTTCATTTGTTTTTCTTTTCTTCTTATTCTTATTCTCTCTCTCCTTCTTTTTCTTCTTCTTCAATGTTGTAAACACCACTGCTAGAACTAAGTTGAGTAAATAAAGAAAAAATAGATTATTTCTAGGTTTTCATTGTAGTGACCTGATAAGTCAAACCAATATGCCCTTTATTTTATGCTTCTTTAGCCCTCATTGTCTCGATGTACAATGTCACTTGAAACTTGAAATCACTAAAATATTATAGAAAAGTGGAACCTTAGTAGGAACATTATCCATAGAGCTATTTTTCTCTTTATGGGGATTTTAACAATGAATAAATGGTTCTCCCACTTGTTACACAACCAATCAACCACCACTGCAATTTCTATTTGACGTGATAATGTTAAAAAGAAGAGGTAGCCTAGAAAAAGGGGCCACCAATGTCTTTTATTGATCTTTAACAAAAGCTTCAATCCATCTAAGACTCCACGATTAGAGGTACAAATTATACAAAAAAAACTTCAAATGAGCAAAATTAGCAAGAATTTCACCCAAGCAAATCTAGTTGTAAGTCTTTATGAGGGAACAAAATGGTACAACTTCAACTCTCACTACTCTCCACCTTTGAAGTATCCATAAAATTAGTTCCTTATTATT